TATCTGGGACCATTTGGGTCGACAAGTGCGTGCAAGACCTGTGCTTCAGGAAACACAGCAGCTTGCTCAGGCTCTCAAGAGGAGTAGAGGAGGATACCAATGCATGTTATCCTGCGTTTGGTCTACTCAGTACGACGTCGTCGAGTTGCCGCATGTAATGATGCACGAGGTGGACATACCAGATGCTGATCGATCTGATGAAATTCACAGTATCATGATGTGTATATACATTGTGACCTGATCGAATACTGGACAAATGACACTCTCTTTGCTGTTTGCTGTCATCGATAATTAGATAAATCTCTGTAAATTAGGGTGATTATTCATCTGGACGTGAGTGTATATCTTAAAAGATTTCTTTTTAAATACAAGGATACTTTTTTGATAACTGAAGGATTTGTTGACGGGTGACTACTGACGGTAGCGGGTGAGCCTGCGAGGTAAACACAACCAAGCTTCCTACTGCGGACGAAGTGACACTTGAGTGAGTAAGTTCATGGAATTCTTCAGTGTCTAAAAATGTCGTCAAATAGGGATGGTCTTATTATGCGATATTCCTTTCATAAGGTGGACATTTTGGCCATGCTACAGTAGGGTTGGGTATTGCCAAAATTCTCGTATTGCGATATATTGCGATATGTATTGCAATATATTGTGAAAGTGTACCACGTGGGTTAAGGTAGTGAAACTATTGTTTCTCTTCTTTTAAAATGATGCAACTGGCCACTGTCAGGACTCAGATGTGATTGTACAAGAGATCAACTGAAAATGTTTCCAAAAGTTTGGAACCCGAGAAAAAGCGTCTGCAGCGGCGTCCGTCATTTTGGTTTGTTCATCCTTGCAACGGTACCGGAGTGCCGGTACCAATCTAGTTTTTTATCTAAATGGTTTATAAGTCACGCTATTAATGTATAATAATATCAGGGAAATACAAATGGTATTAGTAGTTTTGACTACATGACGAAAATTACCGATCGTATCGGGAGAACCGGTTCGCGAAAAGTGTACTGCAATATATGGTATTGTGATGTTCGAATTGCAATATAGCGGTTAACCGGTATTATCGCCCACCCGTATGCTCGAGCCTTCACCCCTTTTGTCTCCTGCGTCATAACCTGATTTCTCCCTGGAAAACCAAACCAACAATCTAATATTGCTCAATCTATTTCCGTTCGCTAGTAACCATATACCAAGAGCCTACTTTTACCTATGTTACTATATGTATATAGTTCACGAAAACATGTGGCAAACTTGAGGGTTATCGTATATTAGGTCTGCTTTTCTACTAATGCATCCACTTCGATTTTCAATCACAAAGTATCAAAATTCGTAATATTGTCCGAAGCAAATCACATGCTAGGCCCGATACACAAAACCCATCCAATGCAAATGTTCAAGATACTAGTTAGCATTGGTCTTCAGCAGGTCATGCTTGTCGTAAGAGTCACAGATATGTTTCGATTCGATGTCTCATCTTGTACGTACATTTGTAAATCTAATTGCTTGGACTGCGTGGACAGCTTTATAGCGGAATATACAGCGAGTATTGTTTCATTCGTCCTGGAACTAATCTGGTGTGTTGACATTGTTACATCCCTTTCCTTATATATAGAAACCGTGAAGATCCGGGTTAGAATTGGCCTTCAGTAACCCATGCTTGTCGTAAGAGGCAACTAACTCGATCGTTTGGTCAGGCTCTCTGACTTGGATGAAGCATGTCTTCGTATCCTAATTGTAAAGACAAATGTCAATCATTACATTGTGTGATGAAGTCTCGATTATTTACAGACCGCCGGCAAATAGCTGAATATTGCGGGGTTAAATAACCATTGGATTGTCTGGTAGACTCATACAGCATCATACAGCTTGAACAATACAACAACTGCGCCGTTAACCAACAACAAAACATAAACTGCTGTATCAACATAAAACTATCACAATGCAATGACAATGCAATGTCTAAGCGTGATACTCTGTTAAAACCATCTGTGTATTTAAGTTGTATATGACTGTATAATGCATGTAACTTCAATGTATATAGCAGGAGGCCTGAAATGCAACAAACATATTTTGACTTGCTTGAACTGCTTAAATGGACTAATGAAGTGACGGACCCAAATCCTGCGAGGAATGTTTAGTTAGTTTAACACATAAACTGATACTTTGCCGTCGCTGTGTAGTGCAATTTGTAGTTATTCAGTGAGCTTAGTTACACTCACCGAACTATGAAAACAAACAATTGACTGAATACATGAGCAGAAACAGCGGTTAAACTGTCAGGTCAGAAGTGTGACCACCTAAATCTCAATATAACTGTATTCCACAGACAAAGAGTGAGTGAGTGAGTTTACTTGTACCCCACACTCAGCAATAGTCCAGCTATGTGGCGCCATCCTGTAGATAATCGAGTCTGGACAAGACAGTCCAGTGATCAACATCACGAGCATCAATCTACGCAATTGGGAACCAATGACATGTGTTAACCAAGTCAGCAAGCATGATCACCCGATCCCGTTTGTCGCCTCTTACGAAAAGCATTGGTTACTGAAGACCAATACTAACCCGTATCTTGACGGGTATCCACAGACATAGAAAACGCACAAGCTGTAAGACATCAAAACCTTGAAAAAGGGGTGGCATTAGTAGGATGAAACAATTGTGACTTCTCAAGGGATTTTCGATTAAAGAAGTGTATAAATTTAATAAAACATTAATAAGTGTGCTCAATCAGATTTCTGCATGCCAATGAATAAACTAAAAAAGATGAATACTGAAATCATACCTTAGTTTCACTCACCTAACTCACCATCATAAAACATACAACATTTATATCTGTGTTGTATTAGATTTCTACATGCCAATGAACAAACATAAAAATCAGAGTTGAACATATTCAAACATTGAAACTATTAAGTTTCTTCTTGCCCGGAAATATGAAATGTATACTGTGAAATAGATCATATGTTTAAAATAGCGAACATTAATCAGAGAGATTAATGTTGACATTTTTTACAATTCTCCAAAATTCTGAATGACTGGTAGGATCTAAGTAGCATTACACTTGGGTTCAGATTTGGTCAGTTTGGTTTAACGATAGTGTGTTCTTTTTTATTCATGCACTTCAAAAAGACACGTATTTTTTCAAGAATATTTAGCGAACGTGAATCAGAGATTGCTAAAATGATTTACAATTCTCCAAAATGTAGTGTCCTCACAGCTGATTGAATGGCAGGATCTTTAGTGGCATTACTCTTGGATTCAGATTTGGCAATTTGTTTTATGGATATATAGAACAAACGTTATGGATAACGACTTCATTTATTCGTGAGTGCGACATTTCGACACTGATTCTTGTACCATTGTCAAGCATGTACAAGAATCTGCATCGGAACGTCGCACTCACGATAAAAGAAGTTTGTTCTATATTAAGTATTTTACTTCCCAACTTCTAAAGTGCCACTCAAAGTTGTTTAAAGTGCCACTCAAAGTACTCGGAGTAGGGCTTGATGAGAGCTATTTTGCTGATATTTTGACTTTGTTGATATTTCACAGGCGCAAGCGTTTTATATGTTATGACAGTAGATTACCGATTTAACTGTTTATATAATTTCATTTGACTATTTCACCACACGTTCTTCTTACCGAGTCACTTTCTGAGTTCGATCCTTAAAAGCAACTTCACTATTTAACATTGTCAGAATTTCTAACTGTGATATAGATATGGCTCTGTCACAGACAAAACTCAATGTCTGTTTTATTGACACCTATGTGTCTGCCTGCCTGTCTGCTATTGACAATATGCAATAATCAACTTCGATCACTGACCTCCTTATCAGGCTATACACCATAAACAAAACGCCTTGATTTATGGCTCGTGCACCTGAGTTCTGTCGCTGTCACATTATGTTATTACATAGACAGGCAGGTGTGATACTTGTTCACATGACATGTTATGATGTCTGTTGATTGCAACATATTGTACACAAAAAATGAGCATGTATTTACAAAACCCAACATCTCTATACACACACCAAGAGCCCTGAGCGTATCGGCAAATGAACCAACCAATGAAAGTTTTCGTTATACTTAAGTGCACGCCCACTCGCTCTGACTAGGTTTGGTATCCCGGGTGCTTCGTTTCGAGGGAAGTAAACCCAAGTACAAATTATTGCACTTTTGATTTGCGATTGTACGCTTATATTTTTGTTTATTTGGGGGTTTTTTCATAATCAGCAATGTATTATATGTCATGAATTAGTGATAATTGTGTTTTAATTATGTTTTATTTTTTTGTTTGCATGTGACCTTAAATACATAGTGATATGGCCTAGTGTGTGAATCTGCCAGGACCTGACTTATAACACATCTGGATGTAATTCCAATAATGAGAGGTCCACAGTTCACGGACTGTGGCCGTAAAATCCTGAACTAAGCTCAGTCTCACACACTACTCTGAAGTTCTCGTTTCAGGAGAGACCATTTTCAATTACATTGAGGTCTTGACTCTGAACCATGTCATGCCTTTATGAAAAAAAGTTGCACCTTACAGTCCAACACAATCTCCGATCTATGTAAACTGAAACTTGCGAGTATTAACTGACCCAGTGCTGTTAGTAATTATATAATATCTGTATACTTTTGATCATTTATGTTACCACCCCACAATGGCACCGGTTACAACTTCGTGCCATGTGTTGGACCGGTATTAAATCAGACGTAGGACAGTGGTTGGTTGTTTTCACAAACACTGAGTGCCCCCATTCATCTCCAGCTTTTCTAACCCTAAACCAGCTTTTCTAAATTCTAATCTCCGAGTTTACTTCCATCTTGATGCAAATGGTGAGTAACAATACCTTGGCACAAACACAAGCATTCTAATGTTTGTGTGAAGGCGTTTCAGTTTTCCAAACTATGAATCTAAAACCTGTATTTTCAAGAACTGGACACCTCATTCACGTAGGCGTTATCATTACTTCCAATCATGTTTTCTTCTTTTACAGTCATTATGGAAGCTCTGATTGGAATTCTTATGATGGTTGCAGTGAGGATCTCCATATTCAACGCTCACATCTGTACCTTCCGTGATCAACATGACGGACTGTTTGTTGACTGTAGAGGGAGACAACTCCAGGATATTCCTGATGACCTCCCAATGAACATGACCTTTCTTGACATCAGTGAGAATCGGATAACTGCTGTGAGAAACAGGACTTTTCAACACTTTAGCTATCTTAGGTATATAAACCTGAACAATAATTCGCTTACCACGATGGAACTTGATGCCTTCGTTGGCGTACTCAGCCTGACTACTCTCCTTCTTGCTAGCAACAAATTCTCAAATCAAAGTGACTCTTTCCCTGAAGGACTTTTCCGTGACCTCGGCAACTTGCATACGCTCAATCTACAGAATAACAAGATGACTAAATATCCAGATTTGGTGTTAACTCCCCTCACCGAACTCCACAACCTGTCCATAGACCCTGTTCGAGATGCTGAATTTGGACCTGGATTCTCCAAACTGACAAATCTTAAGGTTCTCAACATGGACAATGGCCACTGTTCTTTAGAAACATTAACAAATGAAACATTCCGAGCTTTAAATGGAACAAAACTCGAGGTACTCCTTCTAAATCATTGTCATCATTTAACCTCTTGTCAGGCTGGTGTTCTTGAGCCTTTGTCCCACCTAGGACATCTGGAACTATCCAACAATCGAATCGGTATCCATAAGGTTTTACGTCTTCTTTATCCCTTTGTTGGAAGGAACATGACAAGAATATGGTTGAACAACACATTTAAACCCATAGTTCGCTTGAAGGAAGATCTGGAAGATCGCATGATTACAGAAAATAGAACACGCTTTTTGGTTCAGAGATGTGTTTTTTTAGAGTTGTCCTTAAAGGGTAACCGGATACGTTTAATTGAAGCAGGTTCTATCAACAAGTCCCCAATTCGTGAATGTTTGGAAATAATCGATCTCTCACAAAACAGTCTTATTGGAGATGTCAGTTTCGTGTTATTTCTTGCCATTTTCTCAAAACTGAGATATGTCAAGCAAGCCATCAACACCATGTACACGATGGAACTGAAAGCAGATGGGAACAGGCAGAAGGGATAAAAAAGGAGAACATTACCATCATGCTGCCCCCAAACCTTCAATATTTTGGTGCAACAAACACTTTCATGCTAACAGAAACATATGATGAAATCTCGTTTAGAAACACCGAAAATCTTCACACGTTGCTTTTGGATACAACCAGCAACATGATATTGTTCGTATAAACGGGTTGGAAAATGTAAGTCGTGTTGACTTATCTGGAAACAAACTTGGCAGTGTCACTGACGACTTTTTAAAGTCATTTTCAAACGTCAAATCATTATCTTTGAAAGATTGCAACCTACAATTTGCTAACGATGTGCTAAGAGCTCGGAATATATTTGATGCCCTCAAACTGATGGAATGTTTGGATCTTTCATTAAATGACCTTCAGTTATTTCCATTCATCCTAAATCAAAATAGAATCATTCATCTCATTCTATCGCAAAACAAATTTGACACAATTCCCATTGTGACAGAGAATTTTCCAAGCCTTATTCTTCTGAACATGTCATTTAATACGATAGGGCATTTGGACAGGTTTACACGATCTGACTTGGATACCTCGGCTGCAAGGAACAGTCTGAAAGTCGCATTTGTTGGCAACATCTTTTCCTGTGGTTGTGACACTCTGGACTTTATACTGTGGCTGATGGACTCACCAGTAGTCTATGAGTCTGACAAGAATTTCCCTTGTATTCAGGACAATGGACAAATGACAGGAACTGCTGAGGTTGCTGTTGAATACATGCGCATATATCGTTATTGTACTGGCAAATGGATCCTCACCCTCACAGTCACATGTTTGGCTCTCTTTTTGACGTCGACCTTAACAATATACCTTATTTCCAAGAACCCAACCAGATTAAAAAATATTATCATGGGAACGCTAGGATTTGGGGTCAAGTATCTTACTCAAAAAGATTTTTCTTTCAAGCTCTACATCGGATATTGTGAAGCTGACATTGCATTTGTCTATCGGAGACTTCGGCCTGCATTAGAGCAGTGTGAACACCCTGTGCGTCTCTTCCTTAAAGATCGGGAAGTACTTCCGGGTCATGACATTGCTGACGGAATTATAGAAGGTATCAATAAGAGTTGGAAGACCGTTCTTCTTGTATCATCTGACTTCCTCGAAGATGACTCTGCGTGGTCACATTTTACCACCAAAGCAGCAATATACTCTGCGAATGCTCTCATTCCTAACCGGATACTGATCCTACTGATGGGTGAAGTCCAAGTACAGGACCTACCTCTGTGTCTGTTAAACGTGGTTGAAGAGGAATTCATAATTCATGTTGATGATTATCCTGAGGCAAAGTTGTGGAAACATCTGAGACAAATTGCCAATCTGGAACACTAATGGCTTTATAATTGATATAATAATAATAATAGCAGATTTGTATTGCGCTTTTCCATACTTGGATATTATGCACAAAGCGCAGTGAGATTTGATCAGAAGAAAGCTTGGCGGAAAAGATGGGTTTTGATAGCTGTTTTGAAGGCAGAACAGGTTTGACACTGGCGAACATCAAGGGGAAGATTGTTCCAGGCAGGGGCTGCAGCATATGCAAACGATTTCTTCCCATAACTAGAGAGTTTCACTTTTGGAACAATAAACAGATGTTTGAATTCAGACCGAAGGGTTCTGCTGGGACAGTACAATGGAAGTGAGTCACAGAGATACTGTGGGGCTGTTTGAGAGTAGCATTGGAATGCCAGATAAAGGAGCTTAAAGTCGATTCGTTGTTTTACTGGAAGCCAGTGGAGTTCTTGGAGGATGGGTGTGATGTGGTTCGACATGGGTGACAGAGAGACAAGGCGAGCAGCTTTATTTTGAATCCTTTGGAGTCTAGGTTTATTTGGAGAGTTGGCGAGAAGACTATTACAATAGTCAAGGAGAAATGATAAGAGAGAGTCAGCGATTTTGTAGCTTCTTTGGTGAGAGAGGGTCTGATCTTGCCAATGTTCCTTAATTGTAGGTGGCAGACTTTAGAGAGTTGACTGATTTGCTTGTCCAGGCTAAGATCAGAATCGATGACAACGCCGAGGTCTTTCACATGGGATGACAGAGGTATGGTAGAATTGTTCACTCTCATCGAGTGAATTTGGCATTTCTGACGCCTCTGTGATGGACCAATAAGAATTGCTTCAGTTTTCTCAGCGTTCAGCTGTAGCTTATTGTTGGTCATCCAAAGTTTGATTTCTTCACAACAATCGGATGTTCGGGAGATAGCCATGGCAGCTGCAGAAGGACTTGGTGTGAAAAGATTACACAGCTGAGTGTCATCAGCATACAAGTGGTGTAGGAGATTATGTTTGCTGCTGATGTTGCCTAGAGGTCTGGTGTAAAGACTGAACAGTGTTGGTCCCAAACCGATCCTTGCGGGACGCCGCATTGAAGTTGAACAGGACTAGATGAAATTCCATTCATGACTAATTTCTGTGTTCTATCTGTCATGTAGGATTGAATCCACTTCAGTGCCGATCCCCTAATTCCGAATTCTGAGTCAAGACGTGTCAAAAGGTTTATATGATCAATCGTGTCAAAAGCTGCACTTAGATCAAGAAGAATTAGAAGAGCAACATCACCATTGTCCACACCACAACGTATGTCATTCAGAACTTTCAACAAGGCAGTTTCAGTGCTATGACGAGGTCCATAAGCCGACTGAAAGGGTTGGTAACAATACCTTCTAAGCTTTTAATTCGACAGTTTGATATTCATCTTCTTTACAATTAAGGGATTCCATGTTATCTATGTATCAACTATCAATGGGTTTCATTCATTAGTTACAAGCTACAAACTACTACAGACAATTATTTTTTTTCAACAACTAGTATATATTTGGGGGGGGGGACCATTATTTGCTAGATTTAATGGTTTACATATAGATCCTGGGATCTTCAGGAAAGGTTATGTATTTATTGTCAATCAAATTGAAATCAAGATTTTGTTTGTTTTTAATGTACATAATGATAGAAAGTAGAAAGTCCTTTATTATTCCTTGTGTAGTTGAATACCAAACTCAATATAATTTTTAAAATGTCATTAGAGACAAAACAGAAAATATGAAAATATACCTTGTACTGTAAATCGTAATCATGTGTATGTTATGATTCCCCACATGGACACGTTGTATGAGGCTTATTTCCGGTGTCCCCCATCGTGATATTGTTGGAATATTGCTAAAAGCAGCGAAACACTAAACTCACTCACTATCCTGTTTATGGGTATGCTGCTGGTAATATCGGTTAGTGTTGTCATACGACTGAACCACTGATTAAAGCAGATTCAAACATCAAACACAACACATGGACACATGCACGCATGAACGCATGGTCGCACGCACCCATGCACTTACGTACGCACTAGGATTGGTGTCATCGTATGTATTCTCAACCTAACTTCTTTATCTTACTCAATGTCGAAATGAAAAATCAATTTATATATTTTACACTCTTCAGTATTTACCCGGTGTGTAAAAATGGATTTTGTTCGATGCCAGCCATTGATTGATATAACAGGCAAAGTCAGTTGCCAAGTAACACTGTCGTGGTTTCGCAAAAATGAAGAAGTATAACTTTAGTTTTTACGCTGTGTATAGAATACGGTCACGATGAAGAATATGAGTCGTAAGCAGAGTACTTCCGTCCGGTTGTATTTAAACGAATATAAAATGAAATTAGTTTACGGATGTTTACAAGGGACAGCTAATTCAACGCCTAATGTGTGTGTGTGTGTGTGTGTGTGAGAGAGAGAGAGAGAGAGAGAGAGAGAGAGAGAGAGAGAGAGAGACTGTGCAGGAACTATTGTGAGTCCATTTGTGTTTCATTTCTTTCTATTACAGTGTGGATACTTTCATAGGTTCTATAAATACATGTATATACAGCTGCGTATCAAAAGTTTGTTCACCCAGGGAAATCCATTCAAACCATTCATTTTAAGCTCGAATAGGCAAAAGAAAACAAGGAAAACACAATGAGAAGTAGTTTATGTGTGAACTTTATTCAATAATGAGTAGCTCCACCTTTGGCCGCGACCAGTGCTTTGATTCTCTTTGGCATGGACTTGTAGAGATTCTTGAAAACTGAATTTGGCAAAGAATACCAATGATTTTTGACAGAGTTCAGAGGCCATGGCTTGATGTAGGCATATCTTTAGCTGTTTTTCTTCCCAATGATATCCCACACTGTCTCTATGGGATTCATATCAGGGAATTTCCTGGCCATGGCAGCACCTGAATTTCCCTGCGAGCCAGATAATGCACGTGTAGATCTGGAATTGTGAGCTGGAGCATTATCATGCTGGAACACAAAGCCCTTTTCTGGAAAAACCAGACAGGAACCATGATTTGAAATATCGTTGATGATATGTTGTTGATATCGTTCACTATTCAATGTTCCTGGAACAATTTTCAGAATCCCTGGCCCGTTGTGAGAAATCATCCCCAGACATGAACTTGAGGGGGTGCTTTACAGTGCTCTGTAAACAAGTTGTTTTGTAGCGTTCATAGCTGAAACGTCGAACTCTCATGCGTCTTCGGTTACTGAAGCAACGGAAAATGGATTCATCAGAAAATAATATCTTGTTCCACTGCGGCAGCCGAAACTGTTTGACCCGTTTAGCCCATGAAAATCGCTGTTTTCTTTGCTTCTTATTGAGAAGAGGTTTTCTGGCAGGGACAAAACATTTTAACCCAAATGTTTGTAGTCTACGAGAGATAGTCATCCGACTAACCTGTTTACTCATTGATTGCTTTAGTCTACCATGAATAATGTTCAGTGTAGCATATCTATCCTTCAGACACAGTTTCCTGATTATTCGGTCTTCACGTCTTGAAGTACATCGAGGTCTGCCTGACCTTGGCAAATCTTCAATACGGCCAGATTCTTTGTATTTCTTATATAACTTGATCATACCTCTAACTGAGACATCACACTTGTATTCTCTCGCCATAAACTTCTGAATTGTACTCCATTTATTCCCTGCATCCCTCAATGTCACAATCCTGCTCCGTTCCAAGTTTGTCAAGTTTCGTTTCTTTGCCTGATCAATTCTGTAAAGAAATCACGACAGTATATTATCGACACATTGTGCGTTACCAAATGTTTCAAACCGAAGACTAAAAGCATCCCAGAAACGAAACATTATACTTTTAAGCAGAAAAGTTCAGATTTCTTACAGGGAAGATTTTATACGCTTAATTATGATGGAATGAAATTTGTAACTGTTCTATCTTTCTGCCAGAGGATAGTTTAAATATATCCTCACAAATGTTGATGTCATAATTTAAGCACAATAACAAAATAAAAGTATAACTCACCTTTCTGTCTCGATGATCGCCGCTCCTGAATTTCATCCTGCGATTCCGTTAATGTATCAGAGCGGTTACTAAGTTGTTTAAACGCACAACAATGATGAGAACACACAACTTGAGCTCATTTGAATGCATAATTTACGAATAGGATTTGCAAACAGACACTGGAATTAAATTGAAAGCAGTACTTTAATGCAAAAGTACTACAAGCGTTTCCATTTATGAAGTGAACAAACTTTTGATACGCAGCTGTACCTATTTTTACAGCTACATGAACAGTGACATCAATATAATGATCTTCACCAAAACCTTCACAGAACAGGGTATCCATTGGACAGAGGAAGGCCCATGTCATGTTTAATTATGCATGTGTGAGTTCATTCTTAGAACCTGTGTTGTCTTGTGACATGGACATTTTACCAAAACTATTCCCCAAGACTAATGAAGAATAATCTCATGAATCTTTGTGTTGTAGTCATAAGGGAAACAACACTATTTCACTGGGCTGCACATCTTGTTTCTAAATTGTTACCTTCATAAAATGATTTGGTATTTGGTATGAACTCATGATAGGTAGCTGCATTTCACAAAATGGCCTCCAGAAACAAAGTATGGCAAAATCTGGAGCAACTAAAACTCACAAAGATGAATATTTTAATACTGGATCATTTTCTTTTTTTTCTAAGATTTACAGCATACACATTACATATTAAGATGTAGCATTACATGTCATTTATCAGACTTTTGTACATATTATGAATTACACCTGTCAAATTTTTTTCTTAGTTCTGGCAAAGGAAACAGTTTCAAATGGTTTCCTAGCAGACATGCAGAGACTTGGTAGCAGTTATGTGGAGCCTTAATTAAATACTAACTGTCACAAAAGACAGTTTTGATAACAGAAATATAACGGCCAAGTTCATAACATACAGGAGATATGGCATAACTTTACCATACCGATGTTTAGTACATGCAACATACACTAATAACTTTACCATTCCGATGTTTACTACATGCAACATACACTAATAACTTTACCATTCCAATGTTTACTACATGCAACATACACTAATAACTTTACCATTCTGATGTTTACTACATGCAACATACACTAATAATTATACCATTCCGATGTTTACTACATTAGTAATTCCGATGTTTACTACATGCAACATACACTAATAACTTTTCTGTTCCGATGTTTACTACATGCAACATACACTAATAACTTTACCATTCCGATGTTTACTACATACACTAAAAACAACCATCAGACTATCTCCAATCATAAAAGTAGTCCATCAAGATAACTGTCATCACTTGTCATGTACAGTGATGTGGACACCTCTTCCTTGAACTTGGTCTGCATCAAATTCTGCTCATTTGCATTCCGGTTAACTTCTTCATCGCTTTTTGTTTTCATCACATCCATCAGAATGAATGTAATTCCTATACCCCAACACACAGGAGGTAATCTGTGGCTGCTCTG